CAGATCCATGGCTCATAGATATACTGAAGTAAAGGTTTGCACTGTGGGCCTTTGACTTGTTTTTTAAAAAAAAATCAATCAACAAATATTGATCGAGTAACACTTTCACTGTCTCCTCAAAGACTCTTTGACCTTTTAAAATTCCATTTTCTTTGTCCACTAGCGTGTCATGAGCAGTGTGTTGTGTAAGTAGCTGAACTGGCAGTAGCGTTTAGTCTTTTTTGTGGAGGAAAATCTGTATGGGATGGTATGTCATCTCCCATGCTTAGAAAAGCCGTGGTCTCTAGGATGTAGTGGTCAAGAGCTTGGGCTCTGGAGTCAAATGGCCTGGTTTTCATGCAGGTTTTGCTATGTGCTCACTGTGTGATTTGGAGCAAATTATTTAACCTCTAAACTTACTTTCCCCATCTGCACAATGGAAATAATGTTAGTGCCTGCCTGGTTGTTGGCGGTTGTGATGAAGATGAAATAATGTTGAAGTGAGCCATGCACTGTGCCTGGTACCCACTAAGTACTGAGTAATGGCTGACAATGATTCTTTTCCTCTTGGCTCAGTGGTCCCAGTTTTCTTTGGGTCTCCTGGTGTGTTCATGTCTAGAACATAGGGAATTTGACCAAAGGTCCTGGAAGACTCTGTGGGGACTTTAACTTGAATTGCCTTAAAGTCCTCGGAATTATTTCAAGAAGGAATGTCTTTCTTTGCAGAAGGGCTGTAAAGAAAGCATACTTTACCTCTTGTTTCTTGCCTGCCTTCTAGGCCGTGTCTCTATTCCATCCTTCAATACAGCTGCTCCAGCAAGTGGATGGACACAGCGTGGCCTGTGTCCACTTCCCTCCATGGCATGGAGAGCACAGAGGAGTCTCCTCAGGTTGCTTTGCAACTTGTCTGAAATCTAATTCATGTCTTGAATTGATTTTTTGGATGTGTGCATTCTAGGAACTGCTGGAGGAGACAAATGTCACCAGCAGTTCTTTCAGAATTTGCCCTCAGTATTGGGCTCCCATGAAAGTTACAAAGGGGTGGTGAATCTACTGTTTAGTTGCTTGGGGTCCATTAAGACCCTTCTGATTTTCTTTGGGCTCTAGCCAGCTAAGCTAGTATACATGTTTATAGCCTGTTAAAATGCCCCAAGAAGATCACTGGCCAATGGTCATCCTTATTTTTAAAAGTCACCAGATAAGGAAATTTCTCAACTTCAGCAGGGCATTCCAGAAATGTATGATCTCATACTTCTCTTCACTGTAATAAATAAATACAATTTTGATTTCATCTTAGAGTAATTAATCTGAACTTCCCCTTCTGGGATGTAAAGTAGAAAATTGTTCCATGCTCTTTGAACACTAGATTGGAAAGAAAATGCCCTAAACATTTTGCTTAATTAAATCCTAAAGAGGTGGTACACATTTTTCATGATTAATTGAAACATGCACATTTTGACATATTTATATGATATCATCTTATGAAAATTTTATCGTGTTACACAAACTGTTCACTTTGGGAATGTGATTTAATGCTGTAAACATTTTGCGTTTGTTGTTCTATTGTTCATTATGAAAAATACATAGACTGATGACTGAAAGGTAATGTAATATAAAAATCTGTTTGTGAATCTTCATTGACGTCATCTCAAGTCTCTAAGCCTAAATATAAGACAATCATGTTTTCTCTAATTTGAAGAAATATTTTTTAAAATAAAAAAGTTTTAAAGCAGATCAAGTTAGAGAAGTTAAAGTTCTGGAGCCTTCTATTTTTGCCAGGGTAAAGCATACACATCATTCCCAGATTTTATGTTAAAAAATAATAGTGTGTTTTTGAAGTGAACTAATCCCTTTGGTTTTGAGCACTTGAGAAAAGTTCACTTCTCTAGGGGTACAGTCATCTTGTTTAAGATGGAGACACCATCTCTTGTCTGGTGGCAGAACTTTGAGCTCTATTTTGGCTGACAAAATTAATTTAGATAATCACAGCTATATTTTAGTGCCTTTACTATTAATATAAATGACTTCTATAAGTCTAGAATATCTGACAATGTCTTCCCAAATTTTTGGAATAACCCACTTACCAGACTCTCCTTTGGCTCCTTAGCTGTTGATAACAGTTTGATGACAGTGAAAGAGAAATCTGGTGGAAGTTTTCCAAAGTGTTTGCCTTTGTGAAACAGAATCTTACGAAAAACGGATGGGAAGACTGAGTTCTTTAGCAAGACAGATAGATACTGACCTCCATTCCCAGAGTCTTCCAACTGACAGAGACAAAACAAAAGCACACAATTTCTTTTTAATCTCATCTTCGCATATTGTTGCTTTGTGGTATGAATGGTTTATAAAAATAATCTGTTTTAAAATTCTACCTTTTTTTTGTTGTTTATTTGTTAGGTCTATTGTAGGAAAGTGTGCTCACCTCCCTTTAAAAATGACAGTGGGTCTGTCTGGTGATGCTGGAATGAACTTGAGACAGGCGGAGGTGCCCTTGGGCCCCAAGCGTCTCTCTTCCAGGTCCGGCAAGCAGCCCGCCCAGCACACGGCCTTGTCATAGTGTTGTGCTCACCCCTTTCTCGTCTCAGGGTTGGTCTGTGTTAAAGATCTAAGACTTAAACAGGCTCATGTTTTCTTTCTCAAACTAGACGATTTAAAAGAAGAAACAAGGGGAACCTAATGCATATTCTAAATCGGCTCCTTGGGAAGTGGGGTCTCCTCATTAAACTGTGAGGCCAAAGGATTTCCCCTGTAAACATTGTTTTCCCTTACAGATTTCGCCAGAGTCAAGCTTATTGCCAGTGGATAATTTGTGAGAGTTCTGCTGTATTTTCTTTTTCAGGAATTTAAGACTTAAAGCACCTTGTCGATTAGGAAAGATAGAAACTATTAGTGCTAGTTAGCTTCGTAATAACAGATGATTATTTTTAAAAACATGCTATTTCTAATGTAAGAAAACCCCATACTGTAAGGTAAATTTTAGAGCTTTGTTAATTTTTCATACCATGTAAAATGTCTATACATAGACAGATGCTGTATTAGAAATCATGTAAAATATAATAAAAGTTTTCTTTGAATAGAACAAATGATTAAATACAGTAACTGCTTGACATTCGAGTTCATATTATTACTCTACTTAAAGAAATTTATGTTATAAAAAAAGATTGACTAACATCAGAGGTCATTTTTTACGCTGTCTTCTTAATTTGATAATTAACAATAGATCAAAATATGTAATTTGTGAAACACAAAAGGTCATTAAAATGGCAATATGTATTCTATTCAGGTAAATAAAATATCGCATGTAGTTCTGAGTGGTGATACTCCAGGAGAAAAATGTCGTATCACTGCAGTACAAATTAGTTTGCTTCTAATTTTGCAGGCTGATGACCACACTGCCTCAAACCAAATCTTTTCCCTGGAAATGGAATGATTGCATGACAGACCCTCTGAACCATGAATCTGTCAACAACTCATGGACCAGGCCTTGTTTAGCAATTAGTCTTTGGGGGCTTTTATTTAAAAAATCAGACAACACTGTACTAGAGCTTATTGGGGATTTTGTGGTTACCATTCATGCTTGGAGCATGAGTCTGGGTTAGTACAAAAAAAAAAAAAAAAGCTATAAAGGAAGAAGAGATGTGGCAATCAGTTTCTCTCTCTCTCTCTCTTTCTCTCTCTCTCTCTCTCTCTCTCTCATACACACACATACACACCCACACACACTCTCTCTCTCTCTGTCTCTCTCACACACAAACATACACACACACACACACACACACTCTCTCTCTCTCTCTCTCTCTCTCTCTCTCTCTCTCTCTCACACTCTATCAGTTGGGAGATCAGAGAAAGCAAAAGCCCTTAGGAGGCAGAAGAAAATATTTCTTAGGCTTCTACTTAAAGTCTCCTTTTATCCCTCCCCCCCAAAAGAAGCCAGTGTTTCTCAAACATCAGTCATTTGAATACCATCACAATTTTTGTCAGAATTTCATACCACCTGCACTGTGGTTTACTTAATATAGTCTACTAACTGACTCACTGTCAAAGTCTGTCTTTGACTTAGCAGTAGTATTTCTGATATCATGGGCTCCTTATGCTGGTTAAATTTATTTTCTTCTCATACAAAGGAAAAGTAATTCAGCATTGTAAATAGTGGACATATTTGCATGCCACTTAAACTCATTCTGAGCATTGCCATGATGTGACATAAGAGCCGGGAGAGTCCCCAAATCTGGCTGAGAATGATCTGACATTCCCGGTACCATCCCTCTGTCCAGGGACCCCCCCATCCGGGGCCCAAGAACCACATCACATGGAGAAGAATGTAAGTCAGGCTTGCATCTCCCTGAGGACACCAAGTGCTAGAAGGTTGCATCCTCAGAGACTGCTCTGGGAGTCTGACTTGTCCCTCTCCATTGCCAGAATCTGGCCACTTGCATCTTTGCTTTTTTACTAAATACATTGCTCGAGAATCACGATATTGCAAGAGTCAACAACGGCCCGTATCATTGAAGAGTCATAGAGAACATGCCATGGTTAAACCTAGGTTCTGCCTATCAGGGTCACACGAGGGCATCACACTTGTAGGTTGACACCCTACAAATTATCCCACACAATGCAAATCTTGTAGGCTTTCAGCAGGACCTCTGAAGAAATGGGTTGCTTTATAAACTTCATTAGTACTGGGGCTAGTTTCACTAGGCAGATTAGACATTTTTACCAGGCTAAGAACCCTAGGAGCCTTAATGGTTCTGCAGTCATGCTCTGGTTTTTAAACAAATGTCTTTTAGAAGCTTAGGAGCCAAACAAAACAAAAAAGAAAAGGAGAGAGAGAGAAAGAAAAAAAAAAAGGAACTGAGCCTACCCCTTGAAGAGCTGACTGTCCTGTGGCCTACTTGGTCAGAAAATGGTGAGGTCCAGAAACTGAAATCAGACCTCAGTAGCTCTGTCAGGTTCAGGGTGTGTCTAAGTTTGAAGGGATGTTTGCTTCTGATATGAACATTTTTCTTATACTTTTGTTATAGAAGATGATGTGTCAAATGTACAAATAATGTGTGCCTGGTGCCAGAAAGTGGGAATCAAGCGCTATTCCCTGAGTATGGGAAGTGAGGTGAAAAGCTTCTGCAGCGAGAAGTGCTTTGCGGCCTGCCGACGAGCCTACTTCAAGAGAAACAAGGTAAGAGCACCGCAGAGAGAGGTGGCCACGCAGGCCTTACCAGCCCACTAGCGCATGTGCCTCGTAGCTTTTAGCGAAAAACACTGCGCACTTTTTACTTGCATATTTTTATTCTTTCTGTTTTGTCCGTTCCCTTTCTCTGTCATGCTTAACCTTTTGGAATAAGGAATCCCCTTCCAATGTGTTTCTCTTGGCTTGGTGTTTGAATTCTGAGAGGGTGAATGAATCTGGGGAGGACACCATGACCACAGCTGGTGTCCTAATGGACAGTGTCTTTCCAGCAGCAGAGTGTACAGACTAGAATCTATGAAAGATAAGTCGTAGTGGTGTCTTATGAAAGCCAAGAAACTAGCACATAAGCATGGCCAGGAAGCTTTAGTCCACTCCGTTTAATTCTCATTCCCAGTGGGAATATTACTATTGCTCTTTCCAAAATCTGACCCACAATTTATAGTCAAGAAAAATGTCAAGTCTCTCTTGACACTTTGTGTTAAAGTTGACTGATACTGAGAAAAGGTGAAATTATGAATACATGATCTAACATTGCTCACTGCCAAGCATTTGTGAGAAGCATGGTGGGTAAACACAGGGACAGCCATCGTTAGAGTTTTTTTTACAAAACATCCCAGGTCAAAATGTCCTTTTAGGATAGCGGTAGTCACCACTGATGGGAAATGGAATGCATGATGTTTTTACAACCACACACACACATTTGCACACAACTGCTTTCTTAATCCTTAAAGAACCGCTGTAGTCGTTTGCCACCAAGTCCTGAGGTAAATTGCTAGTCCTTGATTTTTCATTGATCTGTAAAGATACCTTAATTCATAAAATCATGCATATTTTGCTAAGCATTGCAGTTTCTATAATACAAGATCAAAATCTGTTCTTTCTTGAAGCAAACAATTATTTTTTTTAAAGTCTGATATTTGCAATGCTGAAATGCTAATCTTGGGCTCACTGCATTGCAAGAGGCACTGTTGCAGCAAATTATCTCCTGCAAATTTAGGTCACATTCATTCTGCCAAAAAACATAATGCCGAAAGAATTAGGCTGCAGAATTCAGTGGGGTGGAATTTTAGTAGCAGTCTCTAAGAATTAGGCTCATAATCTTCACTGGAACAGAGAGGCAAGTAAGGAAATTGTTTGGAATTCTTTTGGGACGGTCAGCAGTTGAGTTCTCTTTCCCCTGGGAGGGGCCTGTGAGTCTGGGGTGGAGGGTGGGAAGATGGACGCACGAGAGACACGTTTTGTTTTAATATAGGGGGATTAAAATGATCTCCGAGACCCTGGGGCTCTCGTTTTGAATGCTGAGCACTGGGGTAACAATCCCAGGAGTGGGCCCAGTGCTTTCCTCTTCAAAGCCCTACTTACCACAACAAAATACTTTGCATTCCATCCCAGAAGATGGCTATAGAACAGGGCTTTTTGTCTTTCTATAATTCTGCAGGGTTATGGGTCTGAATCTTGATGGGCTGCCTGGAGGGAATAAAATCAGGCAAGATGGATTTGTCACAATCCTGGTGATGCATGTTATACTCTGGAAACCGATTATATTTTATAGTTAGCCTTTGAAGACAGGCACCTGACTCCACCTGGAAAAACACTCCAGAATACTCCATCTGTATTGTTGACATCATTATAAAGTTTAAGGTCAAACTGAATTCAAACTTCCTGAGCATATGTTTTTGAAAAATGGATGGCCGGAAGCCAAGGTTAGAATGATTAGTATTTGGAATACTTACAGCAGGTAAAATCAGTAATGGGAGGGAGGCCATCGCGTTTCTCTGCCCACCAGGAGTTACTGGGGTAGCTCTTCGCACATCTCGCAAAACCTGGGCGTTGTGGTGGTTTGATGTTTAGACTTGCTGGCGGATCCCAGCAGCCCATTAGTGGACATTCAATAGCTGTCTGTCTGCAAGCTCCACCCTAATTTATGCATCCCAAAGCTCTCCCAGGCTATACCTTCCCCACCCCCCTTTTTGTTCAAATAGAGAAATAAACTGGTCATACCACCTGTTGGATTCTTTCCTTTTTTAATTTTAAGAGTGTTATCTCTGTAACAATATTATATTGTATTACAATACACATGTACAGCTGCTGTATTTCTGTTAACTGATAGGATTTTGCAGTCGTTTCATTTAAGGCTTGGGTTTCCTAATGGATTGTATTAGATACCCGTCTCCAGCCTGCCATTTCTAAGAACTGCTTGTAATAAGCCCTGGGGTGTTCCCCACTGAAGGCAACAGCGAATGGCTATCTCTCTTCTTGCATCATTTTAACAAAGTCCTTAGTCCTCATTATTAAAATTGTGGACTTTCTTAATCTTAGAAAAAGGGCAGAAGTTTTCCCATTCCTACATAACAGATTTTTCTGGCCAACTTCTACATTTTTAAATATTGAGAAGTGAATGGAAAACCGAGTGAATAATGTATGTGCAGAATAGAATTTTGCCTTAGGTATAGTGTAGATTTTTTAAAAAAATAAAATTAAGTGTGCTGTAAATTATGCTTTATAATGACAGCCTGTTCCTTGCTGGATAGCATGCTGGGATCTAAAAATGGTCTCGGAGTTGAACCCAAGTTGTATGCATAACTTTACAAAGAAAAACCCTCATAGAAAAGGTAGCTAATTAGGAGCGGTATTCAGCTGACCTCTGTTTTGTGTCTGAGCAACACCTGCATTTGTGAATATAAATTGGACAGCTGTGCCTGCGGTCCCTGTGTTTCCCTCGTCACAAATGCTTGGGTGTAGAGGCAGGAACTGATTTGCTGCTAAAAACTAGGACGGAAATAGCCCAACTCTCCAAATGAAGACCCACTGAAAATGGACTCTTTAAATTTTGCTTCTCAAACCTCCTTTCTCTTTAGGTCTCTCTGTTTGATGGGGTGGGTTGAGAATGTGACATGCATCTCTCACAAACCCTGTCGCTATGCAGTAAGGTGGGATGGATCGAAGCCATGTTAACCCTTTATAGCGTGTACGTTACACTTTGGAATTAAATTTCAATTTTTATTTGAAGCGTTGTTTGGATTGCTCCAAATGTATAGGCTTTCTTCACAATGCTTCTACTAAACACTGTTCCGAGAGGCCTGTAAGTCACAGCTGTATTCACTTCAGGAATCTAACTACTAGTTTACACATTTCAGGATGTTGGCTCTAAGAAGCCTATAGTGTTCATTCAAAATATATTTTTGTAGAATCCTTATCCCACAAGGCTCATTTGCTGACTCACAAGTTTTTGAAACAGTGGGTAAGAAAAATACTTATGTAGTCTGTGGGTATTGGATGAACATTGGATTGTCAATCTCATGATTTGATGTGCTGGAGACTTTTCAGCAGACCAGTAACTTACTGTTTCCCTAGCCCCTTTTTGGACTTGAGAAGCTTTCCAGCTTTGTGATTCGACTAGGTATTGGGAAGCTGCAGAGACTCCTTAGTGGCTTTGCACTCCTATAGAAACATTTAGTCCAGGCTGGGCGCGGTGGTCATGCCTGTAATCCCAGCACTTTGGGAGCTTAAGGGTTTGAGACCAGCCTGGGCAACCAGGCAAGACCTTGTCTTTATAATAAATCAAAAAATTAGCCCGGCATTGCGGTGCATGCCTGTGGTTCCAGCTACTTGGAAGGCTGAGGTGGGAGTATTTCCTGAGCCCAGCAGGTTGAGGCTGCAGTAGCTGTGAGTATGACACTGCACTCCAGCCTGGGGCACAAAGTGAGACTCCAACTCTTAACAGAAATAACAATAATAAATCATAGTCCTACTTGATAATACCAGTTCTACTCTGCATAACAACAGACACTTCCTTTCTTTTCTATAGGAAAGGAAAATACTCTTTCTTATGGGAGTCACACCTTGTAACCATTATTCCTCTAAAAATGAGAGTAACAAACAAGATCACAAATAGTAGACATTTCCAAATAGCCTGTGTTTGATCTTTTCACTTTTGCATGGGAAATATCCTATTGTCTAAACTTATATCCAAAAATCAGTCAGGAAATTAAAATTCAAGACAACTGGCCAATGCAGGCAACATAAAGGATGATTGTTGACTTTTCTTTTTCAGATCTCTTTTCTTGTTCAGTTTATAGTGTTCTTTACAGATTAGTAGCACTGATAATTTACACAAGTTCCAAAGAGCACCAAAGTTTTGCTTCCTTGTTCTAGTTTTTCCATAGTTTGAATAACAGATAGATAGAAACACTTCCTCAATCATAATGTTGCTGCTCCCCAGCAAACCATAGTGGGAAGAAACCGATGTGAAACTAAGAGAAGTATGCATTAGAAAGAAAAAAATGACATACATGGAAACAACATTTGCAAATGATGCCTTTAAAATTTCCTAACAATCATTATAATAATAACATAAATATTCAGTGAGGGGAATATTGTATAATAAGCATTTCTTTTCCTTCCAAACTATATCCTTGGATACAGAGCAATCTCTTCTAGAAGAGATTTCTTTTGGAAGAACCCCTCTCTAATTAGCATGTAACATGATGTTATTTGGAGTTATATTTTATTTAGACATAGACTATTTGTCTTTTTATTACACTTGAATATATCCTAGGGAAGATTTCTCTGTTTCAGACTTAATTATAGAACCCAGTAGTGCAGAAGAAATGTGTAACTGTTGCCCTGTTAATCTAGTGATTAACCTGTCTACACTTTTTCCTTTAAACGTCTGCAAAATTTAATTTGCAAAATGGCTATCATTCATAAAGGTTTGGGGAAGGACATTAAGAAATTACTTGTGGGCTGGGCTTGGTGACTTAGCCTGGAATCCTAGCACTTTGAAAGGCTGAGGCGAGCCCGCAGGTTCAAGACCTCCCTGGGCAACTTGGCGAGACCTCGTCTCTACAATAAAAACCAGAAAATAGCTGGGCATGGTAGCGCAGGTCTATAGTTCCAGCTACTTGGAAGGCTGAGGTGGAAGGATCGCTGGAGCCCAGAAGGTCGATGCTGGGCGCTGGGGTGGCTGTGAGCCTGCATGCCACTGC